TCCCCCCTGGGTGCTGTTCACCCTCCCGTGGTCCCTCCCCCTGGACTGAGTGAGACGGCCTCAAATCGCCCCGATCCCTGGCCAGGCTGGGGAACCCCACCCGTGCACGAATGCGTGTACCGGGCCTCTAGTACCAATATAAAATTTCTGATTCTGGTAATTGTACGGTGGTCATGTAAGAAAATGTCCTGTTCTTAGGAAATAAGCACTGATAAATTTACCAAAAAAGTTTAGAAAAAAAGATAAACAAAATAAAAACTCCACAAGCCTGGCAAGTCAAGGATATAATACTTGTTTGTGTTACTTCCTCAGTAAGATGACAGCTACCCATCTGCCAATTCCACAAAACACTGTATCTGTTCTTTTGGCTGCCGTTCCTCCATTTACTGTTAATAGGGATAAGCACAAGCTATACCATCAACCACTGTGAATATATAAAAATTAATGAATCACCAATTGTGATCTAAACATTAGAAATAATTGGTGATCCTTCGCTCTCCAATAGCTAGATATCTGGTTCTTGGCTTACTGACAATTATTTCCAAGAAACACTATAAAGATAAAGACTAGGCATGGGAACATTTGGCACCACAAGGATTCATCACAATCCTAAAATGAATTTAGTATGACGTTAACATATCCATCTGTATGTATTTTCTTTTTATGAAAAATTTAGTTCGTAGTGAGTCATAATAATATACCTCAAAGTTTTATCAGAAAGCTTATGTTACTATTGAAAGGACTTTTATTTTAAAAATTCTTAGCTCCAGAAATCACAAGAATTTATTAAGTTGGTGTGATGTAGATACTAATAATTTTTACCAGAGTCTCTACTATTCTCATCAGACTCCTCTTCATCGTCGTCAGAATAATTTTTCTTTGGGGTTTTTCTCCGCAAACGCCTGCTTTGCCTCATTGGCCGGGAGGGATGTCGTCTTAGTCTTCGGCTACAGAAATCAGTGTCACTGTCATCATTAGATGGTGGGTCTTCTTCACTTTCATCTGGGTTTTCATCAGATACAACAAACTCATCTTGAGATCTGTCCAAGAGAAACCAGATGAATTATGATGGTACTTAAAATTGTGATCCCAGCCCGGCTGGCACAGCTCAGTGGCTTAGCATCGACCTAAGAACCAGAAGGTCACAGTTCCATTCCTGGTCAGGGTAAATGCCTTGGTTGTGGGCTCCATCCTCAGTATGGGTGCAGGAGGCAGCTGATTAATAATTCTTTATTATCACTGATGTTTCTCTCTCCCTCTCCCTCTCCCTTCCTCTTCCTGAAATCGATAAAAAATATTTAAAATCCCCCTCCAAAAACAACAAAACTGTGAACCCATAGTTCTGAGTTCAAGTTCTAACAAGTCCAGCAAATCACAAAATAATGTTTAATGTAACATCTGAATACTTGTATCAACTTCCCTAAAATGAAGAAATGATCTGCTAGGGCAGTGGTTCTCAACCTTCCTAATGCCACGACCTTTTAATATAGTTCCTCATATTGTGGTGATCCCCAATTTCATTGTTACAAATTGAACATAATTAAAGCATAGTGATTAATCACAAAAACAATATGTAATTATATATGTGTTTTCCGATGGTCTTAGCCGACGCCTGTGAAAGGGTAGTTTGACTGCCAAAGGGGTCGCGACCCACAGGTTGAGAACCGCTGGCTTAGGGGGAGTTATGAAGATGCACTGATGTTGATTTTCATGCATACACTGCTTTGGCCTCTTGAGATGTCCCCCATGTGCCTTAAATTCAACATCTCCAAAAGCAAACTCATTATTTCCTAACCTACTTCTCTCTCTTCAGTCCCCGAGCCTGGTATTTGATACTATCACCCATCTAGGGACTCAAACCAGAAATCTGGTATTTATCCTAATTTCCCCCCTACTATTTCTCCTATCTAATCATTTAGTAATTCCTTGAGTCCACCTCTCAAAGATAATATCTCAAATCATCCTGTGTACCTGAACTACTGTAGCAATTCTCCAAGTTGCCTCTGTAATCTCAAGATCATTTCCCTTCAATACATCCTCCAAAAGAATACTAGGATAAATCTTTCTGAAATGTAAACCTCTAATTAGTCTGGTGTTTAAAACCCTTTGGTGGGTTTTCATAATCTTCACAGAGTCCTATGCCCGAGAAACAAAACACTCCATCATCTGTTTCCTTTTCACCACTTGGCCACACCTCCAGCAGGGCACTCTCTACTGCTTTCCCACATTCTTGCTATGCTGACACATCAGGAATTCCCTAAATATTCCATGCGGTTTTATGTGATTTCTCTGATTAGAACTTCTTTCTTCATCCTGCTTCTCATCCCAAACTGCCCAATTAGTCATGCAAATTTCATCAAGCTTGTGGGAGGCAACTAATGATGTCTTTCTCATGTTGATGTGTCTCTCTTTCTCCCTCCCTCTTTCTTCCCTTTCCATTCTTTCTAGAAATCAATGGAAAAAATATCCTCAGGTGAGAACTAAAAAGAAAAAGAAAAGAACCAAGACTGTTCATAAATCTGTATTAAATAATCTGAACATAAAAAGAGATTGTCTGTGTGCACAAAACACAAAAACCCTGCCACAGCGTGGCCAGCTTCTCTGCTCGCACAGTTTAAGCCTGAATCTAGGGACTGGGGTCAACTGCAGACCACGCACCCATCACTGATCTTGAACTCATCTTCACTCTCTTCTTCATCCAGGTTGCTGTCACTGTCCAGATCATTTAATCGCCGGCGTTTCTTCCGGCGAGCAGCAGCAGCCCTCTGGGGTCGTTTATTCTCCTTTCTTTCTTCATCCAAAATAGTGGAGATATCTTTCCCACGGTGACCCGTGATGGTGGAGATATCTTTTCCTCGGCCAACTCCTGAATTCAGGGGTGAAGAGTTGAGGGGAAGAGAGGGAGAGAGGAAGAGGGACAACTGTACATTTATTAAAAGTTTCCCTTTAATATCTATTCTAGACTCATAATACGAGACTGTTCTTATTTGTGCTTAGCAGCTCTTTACTTGATTTATTTTCTTCCTACAAATCTGCCCGTTTCTCACGATTGCAGTTGACAGCTTTCATCAAGAGTGTTGGCATTCGCTTGTCCTACTAAATAGAAGTTCACCTTGTAGAAAACATCTTTTTCTTACATTTTGATGGAATTCCTATACCATAATATTCACTCTTTAAAGTGTATATGTCAGAGGTTCTTAGTATAGTCAAAGTTATACAACTGTCATCACTAAATAATTTCAAAGCATTTCATCACCCCAAAAAGAAACCTCATACCTATTAGCAATGATTCAAGAATCTCTTCTTGAAAGTTGCCTTTTGGACATGGCATTAGAAAGAGACCAATTTTTTAAAAAAATTAACAGTGTTTGCAGGATTGAAAAAGTGAGAATTCAGCAGCAAAGGTGTAAGTAGGCACACGTCTTTGGAAAAGCTAGTGATTTCTTCAGTTCCCCTACAAACAGCCGATGTATTATGAACCCCTTCCAGTTTTCATAATAACTAAATGGAAACCACAATGCTCCACACTGGAGCACTGGTAATTTGCTATGTAGCTCTTAAATGAAATTACCTTTACATTATACTACATTAATGTCATATATTAAAGAGTATGAAATTAATAAACTGATTTTTAAAAGGTTAATTTAGAGAAATATATTTAGAGTCAAATATCCCTAATTTTTGATACTTTGTAGCAGGACTGATCTAAAAATAGAAAGAAAACAGGGAACTTTCACTGGGTTTTCCATTGGAAGCAGAAGTAAATTTATAATCCACTGAGAAACATTTTCATTTTACATCAGATTATAAAACAAAACTTTTAAAATAAGTAGTAAGATCAGAGTCTACACACTGACACTGTGTTCACAGATTATTCTGATTCTCAGGCTGTTAACACATCAGCAGTAATCATGATAAACACTGGGGAGAAAAAAAAAGCTCACTGCTCTAAACAGGGCATTTCAGTTATTTTATTAGCTGGAGTTATATGAAAAAGAGAGAATGATAAACAAACACATACCTCCTCCATCAGCCTCTTTGATATCATCTTCTATAGCTTCATCAATTGCTTCATCAAATTCATCAAATCTAAAATACATACAACAATCACGTTATAGCCTGACACAAGTGTGTCAGGAGGGTTGCCTTGGAAGTGAAAAAGGCCTGAATATGAAATTGCTCTTGTCCACTTTGGGACTGTGTGACTTGGACTACACCCTCTCACTCCGACTAGCCTCCATTTCTTTTGTGAAATTGGGTTTTGTAAATCAGTATCTAATACATAAATTGTTGCTTTTACTTTCAAAGATCATTTGCACCAGGCATCAGTAAATATTTTTGTAAAAAGCCAGATAGAAAATATACCATGCTTTGTAGCCCACAGTCTCTGTTGTAACTATTCAAGTCACTGTTCAGTACAAAAGCAGCCACAGACAATACAAGTGAATGGTGTGGCTGTGTTCCCAAATAACTTTATTTATGGACACTGTGATTTGAATGTCATGTAATTTTCATAGAATGTTCTTCTTTTGGTTCTTTTCTCAATCATTTACAATTGTAAAAATCACTCCCAAGGCATTGGCTATACAAAAATTGGCAGTGAGCTGGATTTGTCCCACAGGCCAGTTTGCCAAACCCTAATGATACAAATCACTCAGCAAAATTAACAAAATCAGTGTCCAGACATAATACTAAGTTCAATGATGACATTATTATTGTTATTGAAGGTTATATTATTACTAGAGGCCCGGTGCACAAAAATTGTGCACTCGGGGGGGGGGGGAAGGGGGGTCCCTCAGCCCGGCCTGTGCCCTCTTGCAGTCTGGGACCCCTCGGGAGATAACAACCTGCTGGCTTAGGCCTGCTCCCGGGTGGCAGAGGGCAGGCCCAATCCCTAGGTGCAGCCCCTGGTCGGGCTCAGAGCAGGGCTGATTGGGGAGTGGGAGCACCGCCCCCTGTCATGCACAGAGCAGGGCCCATCAGGGGGTTGGGGAGCTCCCCCATATCAGGCACAGAGCAGGGCTGATCAGGGGGTTGGGGCGCCTTCTCCTGTCACGAACAGAGCAGGGCGGATAGGGAAGTTGTGGCCCCGCCCCCTGTCACACACACAGCCGCAGGTCGATCAGGGGGTTTGGGCACTGCCCCCTGTCACACTGATCCCAGTGCCAGGAGGCCACTCAGCTCCGCTGATCCCTGTGCTGGGAGGCATATTACCCTTTTACTATATAGGATAGAGGCCTGGTGCACGGTTGGGGGCCGGCTGGTTTGCCCTGAAGGGTGTCCTGGATCAGGGTGGAGGGTTCCCACTGGGGTGCCTGGCCAGCCTGGGTGAGGGGATGATGGCTGTTTGCAGCTGGTCACACACCCTTCAGGGTGGGGATCCCCACTGGGGTCCCTGGCCAGTCTGGATGAGGGGCTGAGGGCTGTTTTCAGGCTGGCAGGTGACTGAAGCTCCCAACTGTTCCTTTTTTTCTTTTTTATTCTGGGCCAGCTTTAGCTCTGGCTCCAGCTTTGAGGCCTCTGCTGCTGAAAGCAGGTATCTGGTTTGTTTGGGTTCTATTATCGAAACACTGTATCAACTCCAGCTCTGAGATCCCTGCGGGCTGAAAGCAGGTTTCTGGGGTTTTGTTTAGCTTCTATATTTGTAACAATGGTTCAAACTGCAAGCTCAGAGGCTGGCAGCGGCAGGCGGGGAACGTTGGAGTCCTCCGTCACTGAAGCAAGCAAGCCTCATGTTAGTTTCAAGTTGCCTGGCTGCCGGCCGCCATCTTGGCTGGCAGTTAATTTGCATATCTTGCTGCTTAGCCAATGGGAAGGGTAGCGGCTGTACACTAATTATCAGGTTTCTCTTTTATTAGATAGGATTACTAAAATTCATATACAGTCAGAATTTTAGAACTATGAAAATGTACTTCATTCAGAAGGGCTGTTTTCAAATTAAAGAACCAAGACTGGATGATTCCTAAGAATTCATCATATGCAAAACTCCTTTCACTTTAGGACTGAGGTAAGCACAAAGATAAAGTGGATTGCCTAAAACATTTTAATTAATTAATATGAAATATTCCATTCTGGCCCTAGCTGATGCTGCTCAATGGCTAGAAGGATGGCCTGAGCACCACATTGTGTCAGGTTCGATACCCAGTCGATACCTGGGTTGCAGGTTTAATTCCCAGCCCCGGGTCAGGGCCAGGATGGAAGGCAACCAATTAATTTGTCTCTCTCACATTGATGTTTCTCTTTTGTTTCTCTCCCTCCCTTCCACTCTCTCTAAAACTCAATGGAAAAAATATCCTGAAGTGAGGATTTTCACACACACACACAAAATTATTTCACCTGGCCAGTGTCGCTCAGTGGTTGAGCATCAACCTATGAACCAGGAGGTCACAGTTCAACTCCATGTCAGGGCATATGCCTGGGTTGCAGGCTTGATTCTGTGTGGAGTGTGCAAGAGGCAACAAATCAATGATTCTCTCTCATCATTAATGTTTCTATCTCTCTCACTCTTCCTCTCTGAAATCAATAAAAAAATATTTAAAAAAAATTCTTTCATTATAACTAATTCCATGTATTTCATACCTATAACTTATACATTTCCGTGTTCTTGTTGATCTTCTTTCAAGCAAATTTGCTTTGGATTTTTTTGAATCCTTTTTCTTTTCTTCATGATCTTCAGAAAAATCTGGCTCCTGGTTTTATGAAAATAAATACATTTTATTGCTCAGGACAGAACAAAGTTCCTTGGGATTAATAGCTTCTAATGTCCCTCTAGGCAGCACATGTGAAAGGTTTGAAAAAGATGATCCCACAAAACTGAATGAACATGGCAACACTATGTACAGATTAAAAAAATATTGATGATCAAAAGAACCACTTCTGGTCCTGGCCAGTGTGGTTCAGTTGAGTGGGCATTGCCCTGTGCACCAAGTCGGCTAGTTCGATTCCTGGTCAGAGCACATGCCAGAGTTGCAGGCTTGATCCCCACTGGGGGATGTGCAGGAGGCAGCCATCAATCTCTCTCTTTCTCTTTAAAAAAACACACAAAAAATCAATAAGAATATTTTTTTAAAAAGCACTTCTGTATTAAAATTCTTATGTTTTTGTGAGTTCATAATGACCTCTTCTAAAAATAATCATGATGGGGAAAAAGGAGACATATGTAAAACTTTAGACTATTTAAAAAAAAAAATCATGATGCCTAACCGGTTTGGCTCAGTGGCTAGAGCCTCGACCCATGGAATGGAGGGTCCCGGGTTCAATTCTGATCAAGGGCACATGCCTGGGTTGTGGGCTCAATCTCCAGAAGGGGGCATGCAGGAGTCAGCTAATCGATGTTTCTAACTCTTATATCCCTCTCCCTTCCTCTCTGTAAAATCAACAAAACAAACAAACAATATATATATATTTTAAATCATGATGTTTTTCCATCAATATATTTTAACACAAATAATTAGATAAGCTGAAAAAAATGAAATAATGGATTTAGAAGAAAGGGGCATGGTGCTGAAGAAAAATAACTAACCAAGACATGCTATTTAAGTGTGTGATTTAATTAAATCTGTACGGAACTGAGAAAATTTCTTCATTTCAAATAAAAGTCATGTTACATGTACTCTCACGCATGAGATATCCTTCTTAATTACAAATTAAGCTAATGAATGCGAAACAGTGAAATCCCTTCAAAGAAACCAAACTATAAGAACACAAATTGAAGGTTCTGATAACCACAGAAGACTAGAATTAAAAACCAGCTCTCCCTGAACTATCTTTAGACACTTTTACATAAACAGCAGATAAAGAAGCTGAAAACAAATTAACCAATTTAGGTTAAAAAACAAAACAAAACACAACACCCAACAAGCTCCATGGGGGTGAGCTATAAATTTCATTTGAATGTAATATTTCCGGACTATCTGCATGTACATAATCATGAGGGATTATGGGTGATTTCTTTAAGGTCCTAACTTTTCATTTTTTAAAAAAAATATATTTCTTTATTGATTTCAGAGAGGAAGGAAGAGGGAGAGAGAGATAGAAACATCAATGATATGAGAGAATCATTGATTGGCTGCTTCCTGCATGCCCCCTACTGGGGATCAAGCCCGCAACCCAGGCATGTGCCTTTGGCCAGAATTGAACCTGGGACCCTTCAGTCCACAGGCCGACGCTCTATCCATTGAGCCAAACCGGCTAGGGCAAATTTTCATTTTTAATAAGAATTAAAACTACTCATGTTACATAAAGTGGGATACATTTTAGAACAATTATGGCCATTTTCTCTTTAAAAATACTATAAACCAGAAACTTACTTGTGGAGGAATGATGTTTTCAATACTGATACCCACATACACCAAGCGTTCTTTCCTTTAAAAAGTGAAAAACAAGCACATAGGCAAAATTAGATTTGCTAAAAATAGAAGTGTTATGAGAACATTACTAACACAGACAATACTAAAATTACGATTTTATAGTAATAGCAGAGGCTAGGTTACAAACATGTTGTCTATCTCTCTATATATAAATAGGTAATATGCAAATTAGCCAGGTGTCATGACCACTGGAGGAACCTGCATCATGACTACTCAGGAGGAGCTGCATGCAGATGGGAGGGAGAGAACTGCTTGCCGCCTCCAGCCCCAGCGGACACACACACACACACACACACACACCAGGGGTGGGGGTGTGCTCTGATCCACGACACACACCAGGGGTGAGGGTATGCTCCAAGTGGCCGTGTGGCGTGGTTCAGGGCACACCCTGGTGGGTGGCGGCAGCATCCAGAGCAAAGCAGCCCAAGTCCTGGGTGCCGGAGGGATGGAAACTGGTGCTGGCAGCCAGGGGAAGGAAGGATATTTTTTTTTTCAATTTAAATCTTTATTGTTCAGATTATTACAGTTGCTCCTCTTTTTTCCCCCCATAGCTCCCCTCCACCCGGTTCCCACCCCACCCTCCACCCGCATCCCTCCACCCCCACTGTCCTCATCCATAGGTGCACGATTATTGTCCAGTCTCTTCCTGCATCCCCTACACCCCTTTCGCCCCCAAGAATA